GGAACACAAGCAGGGGGAGTGGGAGAGGGAGAAGCAGGCTTCCTGCCAAGCAGGGAGCCCAATGTGGGGCTCGATCCCAGGACCCTGGGATCATGACCTGAGCTGAAGGCAGAGGCTTAACGACTGAGCCACCCAGGCGCCCCTAAATATTATTTTTTGAAAATGTGAAAAATTAACAAAGATCTCAAAGGAAAAAACATACAAAAGGGTATATTTAGAGAAGTGCTGCTCAGCCTTTATATCTTCCATCTCATTCCACCCAACCACCCTCCGCAGGTAACAAATTGTGATTGTTTCTGGTGAACTTCCTGTGTCTCTTCAGTGGAAAAAGACAGATACCATCCTGGAAGTATCATTTCATGGAAATCAGCCTTATTATTTTTTTTTTTCTGAATAATCGCATAGTACACCATTGTGTGGCTGTCCTGCAGTTTATTCATCCAATTTCCCGTGTACAGGCATTTAGGTTGTTTCCAATACCTTGCAATTACAAATAATGCCACACTGAATAACTGTGTGAATACTATTTTTGTATTGTCAGTATGAAAGTTTAGGGTAAGTTCCATGATTGCTGAGTTTGTGTGTGTAGTTTCATTAAATACGGCAAATGTCCCTCACTAGAGATTAAGCTGTTTTGCACTCCCAGGAGCAGTGAATGAATACATCTATTTCTTTTTTTCTTTTTTTTTTTTTTTTAAGATTTTATTTATTTATTTGACAGAGAGAGACACAGCGAGAGAGGGAACACAAGCAGGGGGAGTGGGAGAGGGAGAAGCAGGCTTCCCACTGAGCAGGGAGCCTGATGCGGGGCTCCATCCCAGGACCCTGGCATCAGGGCCGGAGCGGAAGGCAGACGCCCAGTGACTGAGCCACCCAAGCTCCCCAATACGTCTATTTCTGCATCACCTCTCCAACAAACTGTTGTCAAGCTTTTGAATTTTTCTCATTCTAATAGGAAGAAATAATATTTCAGTGTAGTTTTGATTTGCATTTCTTCCTAGGGAAAGTTAAACATATTTATATATGTTCAAGGGCTATTCTCATATTATTTTTTACTTGTCTGTTCATGTCTTTTACCTATATATTTATATTCTATAGGGATTTTGGTTCCCCACGCCTATTTTAAGAGTTCTTCGTGTATTAGGAGTATTAGCTCTTTATCTGTGATATATTACAAATATTCTCTCTACATTTTTATTTGCCTTTTGGCTTTGTTTATGGTGCTTTTTGTCATCGTGTATTCTTCAATCATTTTTATGTACTTTAATTTAAAATTTTTTTATTACATGTGGATTGAATTAAAGTTAGAAAGCCTTTTTCCACTCAGATGTAAAAGAATTTTCTATTTTCTTTTAGTACTTGTATGGTTTCATATTTTATATTTAGGTCTGATACTTTTGGAGTTTATTCTTGTGACTGATGTCAGGTATGGATCTAATTTCATCTTTACAAATAGCTAGCAGTTGATCTAGTATTATTACATATATATATCTTTTTTTTTTTTTAGAAACAAGCACACAAGGCAGCAGGCTTTTCAGAAGTGGTCTAATTACACTAATACATTTAGGGTAATATCTAAAAATGCTCACTTGAATCATTTATGCATGGGACTAGTATATATGAAGTTTATGCAAATTAAAACGCCTTCCTGGGGCGCCTGGGTGGCTCAGTCGTTAAGCGTCTGCCTTCGGCTCAGGTCATGATCCCAGGGTCCTGGGATCAAGCCCCGCATCGGGCTCCCTGCTCCGCGGGAAGCCTGCTTCTCCCTCTCCCACTCCCCCTGCTTGTGTTCCTGCTCTCGCTGTGTCTCTCTCTGTCAGATAAATAAAATCTTTAAAAAAATAAATAAAATAAAATAAAATAAAATAAAATAAAATAAAATAAAATAAAATAAAATAAAACGCCTTCCTCCGTGGTGATAAAAATTTAAATTTGTGTAACACTTCACAGTTTATATGGCACCTCTACACCCTCCATCTTGTTTATCCTCACTTGTAACTCTACACCTGAGCAGGCTGTCCTCGCCATCATCCAGATGATGAAGGTTTCAGGACAACAAATGCCTCTTCCACGGTCATGTGATTAGTGAATGGGGTAGCCCAGCTCTTCTGGCTCTTTCCACAGTGTCTCGGCACTGCAAGTCTTGTACATCAAGGTTCTCGTGGAGGTGGTGGCTAAGATGCTCAGACATCTTGTAGAGCAGGGCTGAAGTAAGTCTATACAATAAAACTTGAAGGTTAAATGTGCTCCAAGTATCAAGCCGTGGTAGAGCAGCAAAAGATGTGGTCATCACCTACCATCTAAATAGTACTTTCTGTGTGAGCAAAGCTTGGAGAGGGCAGAGTGCATGCACACCAAACACAGACCAATACGAGACTAACTCAGCTAACTATGGCAAAGTTGTAGCGTTACAGACAGAAAACATTTCAATAGAAAATGCCTGGAAGAGCCACATTCTACAGTGTATCAACCACAACTTCTGAATCAAAGCCTTGTTTTAAATTCTAAGCCAACATGGGGCAAAATCAAAGGAGTAATTTGACTTTGGATTATAACAGCAGTTCTCAGGGTGATCAGAGGACCCTTAGAGGTCTTGAGACCTTTGCCAGGGTTCTGTGAGGTCAAAACTATTCTCATAAGACTACCAAGAGGTCATTTGCCTTTTTCATTGTGTGGACAGCTGTTTGCACTGCTGGTGGAATAAAACTACTGGCATTCCAGCCCAAAGCAAAGCAGTAGCACCAAACCGAATTTGTAGTCATTGTACTCTTCACCACTACGTGTGAAAAAAACAAACAAACTCAATTTCACTTGAGAATTCCCTTGATAAGTGAAAATTATTGGTTTTATTAAGTTGTAACCATTTGGTACCAGTCTCATTTCAAATTCTGTATAAGGACATGGGAGGTGTACATACATTACTTCTGCTCTGTACTGAAGTAAATGATGTTTCCAGGAAAAGCATTTATGCTATTGAATAGTTATAAGCTAAACTAGCCACTTTATTTCACCATATTTACTTGAAAGAACGACTTATAGGCCAACTGGTTTTTCAGACTTCAGTATTTGGCAGGCATTTTCTCAAATATGAATGAAGTGAGCCTGTCAGTACAAGGAATACAACTGATGGTATTCACTCATTGATAAAATTTGAACTTTCCAGAGAAAATGAGAATTTTGGAAAACTTGTATCTGTCACTGAGCCTGATAGTTTCATTTAAACTTTTCTTTAAAAAAAAAAATTTTATTTATTTGAGGGGAGAGAGAGACAGAGCACAAGCATGAGCAGGGGGAAAGGCAGAGGGAAAAGCAGACTCCCCACTGAGCAGGAAGCCCAACATGGGGCTTGATCTCAGGACCCTGAGGTCATGATCTGAGCCAAAAGCAGACACTTAACTGATTGAGCCACTCAGGCGCCCCATGTCTTAAACTTTTCTAAAGAGATCAGTAATAATACTAAAAATGTGATTTGTTTGATATTTTATAAGACATGTCGATACTTGGAAGAACTCTAACTCAGTGAACTGGTATTTCCTAAAGATCAATGAATAATGTTATAAAATCACATGGGGAAAAATCCATTCAAAGTGCAAGACAGATCGACGCATTCCACACTGCAACTGACCTTTATAAAACAACTTGTTGAGTTTTAGAAACAAAAAGAAAATCTACAATTATCTGGAAGAGCTATTAAAATACCCCCATCTTTTCCACCTATATATTTGTGAGGCTGCATTTTCTTCATAGAATTCAACCAAACAACATATGACATCAGATGTAATACAGCAGATATTAGAATCCAGCTGTCTTCTATTAAGCTAGACATTAAAAAAATTTGTAAAAACATAAAACAATGACACTCTTCTCAATACATTTGTTTTGTAAAAGTTATTTTCTATAAAAAATGTTATTTAACATGTAATAGACTTACCATTGTTATTTATAAATATTTAAAAAATTTCAGCTTTTATTTATCATATGGTAAATATAGATAAATATGACCCATATTACTATTATTTTTTAAATATGACCCACGTAATTAATTCTTTGGAGTTTCCTTATTAAGCGCAAGTATAAAGGAGTCCCATGACAAAAAATTGGAGAATCGTGGTATTTGAATTTTAGAAAAAATCTTAACCCAAGAGAAGACAGTCAAGAATTGTCACCGGCTAATTCTAAGATTTTGGTGATACAATGGATTCAAGGTACTACTCTGCCCCCAATGTGTGTGTGAGCGTGTACATATGTGTGTGTATATGCCTCTATGCCTCCATACTTCTAGAAAATGGATAGTAACAGGGCGCCTGGGTGGCTCAGTTGGTTGAGCAACTGCCTTCAGCTCAGGTCATGATCCTGGAGTCCCAGGATCGAGTCCCGCATCAGGCTCCCTGCTCCGCAGGGAGTCTGCCTCTCCCTCTGACCCTCCCCCCTCTCATGTGCTCTCTCTCTCTCCTCTCATCCTCTCTCTCAAATAAATAAATAAAATCTTTTAAAAAAAATGGATAGTAACAACTATTATTTCTCTAAGTATGATCATATCCATCTATTCTCTAGTTATAGGATTGAGCTGTATATTTAAAAATATTCTTGAATCCATGTACTTCTTCACATTACTTTGTATTTTTTATTGTATGTATGGATTATAATTTTTCCCCAAATTCCCTAAAATAACTACGATCATATGAGAAGACTTACACATTCAGCAAGAATTCCCTGATGTCGACTGTCATCCTATTTCAGCAGAGGGAACAACTGTTTGGTACAGACATTAATGAGGTGCTACATGAAGGAGGAATTCCCATATTCTGGCATTTTGCAAACTGAAAAAGTAATTTCTCTGAAAAATGAAGCCCAAATAAGAAAACTGTAATGGATATTACCATTTGGGTTGTTAATTTCCACAAAGGGCCTTATAAATTGATGTTGGATAGTTTTAAAGAAACAAATTGACAAGATTTACACCAATCTTTCACAAACTCTTCACAAAGAACACAAAAAGAGAATACTTCCCAACTTGATTTATGAGGTCAACATAATCTTGATATCAAACACTGACAAAAACATGATGAGAAATAAAAATTACAGGCCAATCTTTCTCGGGTGCATAATGCAAAATCCTAACAAAATGTTAGCAAACCAAATCCAGCAATATAATAAAACTAATACATCAAGATCAAGTTAGATTTATTTCAGGAATACAAAGTTCGCTTAATATTCTTAAAAGGTAATGTAAATGATACCATTAACAGAAAAAAAAATGATTATCTCAATAAAGAAAAAACAGTTTATAAAAGTCAACACTCATTCATGATAAAACTCATGATATGAAGTAACTAGGAAAGAAGAGAACTTTCTTTCTTTGAGTATCTACAAAAAAACATGCAGCAAATACACTTAATAGTGGAATATTAAAAGCTTTCACTCTGAGATGGGGAACAAGATAAAGATGCTTCCTCTCATCGGTTCTATAGTATTCTATATTGGTGTACAGGTGTCATAAACCAGGACAACATTAAAAAGGAGATAATAAAACGAATTATTTGCAGATGACATAATTCTATGTAGAAAAATCCGTAATAAATTATACATGAAATATTACATTAATAAAGGGATTTGAATAAGGTTTCTGGATAACATGAAAAAGATGTGTTTCTATACACCAGCAACAAATAAAATGAAATTTTAAGAGGATGTCATTTATGAGAGCATCAAAAAATTCACTGGAAAAAATAATCTACCAACAGGAGGTGCGAGATGATACATTGAGAAATATAAATATTGCCAGGAGAAACGAAAGAAAATCTATGTAAGTGGAAGGATATTCCTGTGCATAGTTTGGAAGATGTTTTAAAGATGACAAATGAACCCCAAATTGATATATAAATTCAATGCAATCTCAATCAAAATGCAGGGTGTGTGTGTGTGTGTGTGTGTCAATGGACCAGTTAATTCTCAAGTTTATATGGAAATGCAAAGAGTCAAGAATAGCAAAAACAATCTTAAGGAAAAACAACACTGGAGGACTTGATTACCAGATAAAGGACAGAAATTGAGACTGTAGTATTGGTACATTATAGGCAAACTGGCAAATGGAAGAGAAAAGAAAGTCCAGAAACAGAAGTACACATAAATGGACAAATTATGACCAAAGCGGCACTGCAGTGAGGTGAAAAAGGATGATTTTCCCAACAATGCTACTGAACTAATTGAATACCCATGGTAAAGAAAAAAAAAAAAAAGAATCTTGTTCCCTACTTCACACCATGCATAGAAATCAATCCCAGGATTGTAGAAAAGTAAAACAATAAATCTTTTAGAAAAAAAAAGTCATAGAATATCATCACCTTGAAGGCAAAGATTTCTTTAAAATAGGTCATAAAAGCAAAAACCATAAAGAAAAGCTGACAGGTGGAACATTAAAATCAATAACTCCTATTCATCAAAAGACACCAATAAGAGGGTGAAAAGGCAAACCACAAAATGAGAGATGATATTTACAATACATACTGACAAGGACTAGCATCATGAATAGGTAAAGAGTAAGTCAGTAAGAAAAAGTCAGATAGTTTCCCCCTCACCTTCCTCCCACCCCTCTCCTCCCCCCAAAAAGAAAATAAAAGGGACAAGACTCCTAAGACTCCTGAACAGGTACTCTACAAAAGAGGGGATCTATATGGCCAATAAACATGAAACATGCTTAATTTTATTAGTTATCAAGGAAATACAATTAAAACCACTAGAAAATCCTACTGTATACCTGCCAGCATGTCTAAAATGAAAGACAGACTACTAATCTACTTTGTCTCAATGCATTTGCCCATTCTGGAAATTTTGCATAAATGGAATCCTGTATCGTGACTTTATTGACTAGGTTCTTTCACTTAACATGTTTTCAAGGTTTATCCATGTTGTAGCATGTATCAATACCTCATTCCTTTTTATAGCTGAAAAATATTCCATTGTAGGATATGCCACATTTTGTTTATCCATTTGTCTGTTGGTAGATGTTTGGGTTCTTTGCATCTTGTCGCTATTATGAATAATGCTGCTTATAACCATTTGTATACGAGTTTCTGTGAGGACATATGTTCTCATTCTGTGTATTTATCTAGGAGTGGCATTGCTGGGTCATATGGTAACTATGTGTATACCCTTATGAGGAACCACCACATTGTTCCCCAAAGTGGTTGCCATTTTACATTTTATATTCCCACCAGCAATGTATGGGGTTCTAATTTCTCCACATCTTTGCCAACACTCATTTTAAATTTTGGTTGTGAAGTGGTATTTCATTGTGGTTTGGTTTGCATTCCCCCAACTACAAATGAGAATAAGCATCTTTCCTTGCACTTGTCATTTGTGTTGTTTTTTTTTTTTTTGAGAAATGTCTGTTCAAATCCTTTGGCCATTTTAACTTTAGGTTACTTGTCTTGAGTTGTAATAATTCCTTATATAATCTGGATACTAGACTTATTAGATATATCATTTGCAAATATCTTCTCCCAGGAATGGAAATTCTTACAGCCTTTTTGGAAAAACCATTTGGCATCTACTAAAGCTGAATATACACTTAGCCTATGGACCCAGCAATCCACATCTACATATATACTCAATAGAAATTAGAATGTACTTCCCACCAGACACATTTGAGTGTTCGTAACAGCACAATTCATAATAGCAATTGAAAAGCTTAAAGTTGCTAACATCTTGTACGGAGGCTTAATGATGATCCTACTTAGGTGTCCATATCCTAATCCCTGGGGACCTGGGAAGGTTACCTTGTTTGGCAAAGGGACTTTGTAGATGTGCTTAGATTTTGAGAGGGAGAAATGAGACTTCCAGTTTCCAAGCCATCAAGTAAGGAGTTTGGAAGTCATCTCTCTACCCCAACAAGTAAAAGGCTGAACTGAAAAATCAACTCCATTTGTCAGAGAAGTGAGGTCCCAGGACCAACTCCTGTTCCCAGAATTGGAGACTGGCAAGTGGACACAGAATAACAACTTGCTTAACTAGAAACTCCCAAGCAGAAACCTCTGAGGGAGACAGTTCTGGGAAAAGAAAGTCTGAACTGTAATTGACAAATTGCTGGAGACTCAGAGTAGGCAAGTCTGTGAGTTAAAAACCCTAGTCACAGGCGGTTCCCCCACACTTTTGTGAGTTTTACCTCCAGAAGCTCTACCAGGATCTCAAAGGGAAAAATCAGAGAAAAATCCCCTGGTGTTCCCCATCTAGCCGTCCTGCCCCACCTAAGGTGTAAGGGCTTGGGGGTGGAGATGGGGTCTGGGAAAGACTTGTGAAGTTCACAGCCCACGGGTGCAGGCTCACTGAGACCTAATTACAGTACTAGGGAATGCTTTCCCTCCCTGCAACACCTTACCACTTTACTAACGGTCTATTCACTGGAGTTCTTTATACCCAGTGCATCATGTCCAGCTATCAACAGAAAATTACAAAGCACAGTAAAAGGCAAAAAGCATTTTGAAGAGAGAGACGAAGCATCAGAATCAGATTCAGATATGGCAAAGATGATGAATTATCAGGCCATGAATTTAAAACATCTATGATTAATATGCTAAGGGCTCTAACAGAAAAAGTAGGCAACACGCAAGAACAGATGGGCAATAATAAGCAGAGAGATGGAAATTCTAAGAATAAAAAAGAAATGCTAGAGTTAAAAAAAAAAACTAACAGAAATGAACAGTGCTTTCCATGGGCTAGTTGACAGGATATGGCTGTGTCAAGAATCTCTGGGTGACAATATGTGTGACAACAGAAACTTCCAGAACTAAAAAGCAAAGAGAAAAAGACCGCAGGGGGAGGGGGCAAGGAACAGAATATCCTAATACTGTAGGGCTACAAAGATGTAACATATATATAATGGAAATACCAGAAGAAAGGAACAGAAGAAGTATTTGAAGCAATAATGACTGAGAATTTCCCCCAAATTAATGTCAAGACACTAAACCACAGATCCAGAAAGTTCACAGAACACGAAGGATAAATTCCAAAAAACTACACCTAGGCATAACATATCAAACTGCATAAAATCAAAGATAAAAAACCTTGAAAGAAGCCAAAGCGGGGGAAACCTATGGAGGAGCGAAGAATGATGCCCAATTTCTCCAGAAACCATGCTAGCAAGGAGAGTGAGGTGTTGAGGGAGCTTACATTGGATTGCTCAGGTGGGTCCAAGTTAATCACATGGATGCTGACACGAGGGAGGCAGCTGGTTCAGAGTGAGAAGCCATGTGATGGAAGCACCCAGCTGAAGATGCTGTACGGTTGACCTCAAAGATGGAGAAGGGGCCAGGAACCCAAGGAATGCAAGCAGCCTCTAGAAGCTGGAAAGGAAGGAAATAGATGCTCCCTGGAGCCTCCAAAAGAAATCAGCACTGCTGACACCTTAATTTCAGCCCAGGAAGACTGATTTTGGAATTCTGACCCCCAGAATGGTAAGATCATAAATTTGTATTGTTTTAAGCCACTAAATTGTGGTAACCTGTTACAGCAGCAATACGAAACTAATATACATCCATCAATAGCATCATGGATAAATTACAGCATATTTGCAAGGTGGTATATTATGGTGCAATGAAAAGATATAATTATTGCTACATGGATTTGTTGATGTGTTACAGAACGAATATTGAACAGAAGCCTTGCACAAAAAGAATATAAACTCTCAGATCCCATTTATATAAAACTTAAAAATAAATAAAACTTATATATGGCTGTCGAAGTTGGGACAGTGGTCACTTGGTGGGTAGGAGTGCTGATGAGTGGGGCACATAGGAAGCATATGGGATGCCAGTAATGTCTTTCTTGACCTTGGTGGTGATGTGATTAGTGGTCTTTCAAACATTATACCCCATAATTTGTATACTTTTCTTTAATGTATACTTGAATAAAAAGTGCTTAAAAACAAAAAGTTTTAGGTAGTTTTAAAAACAAATTTCCTTACAAAAAATAGGGACAAAAATTGGTTTAAGGTTTAAACATGGTAAACACAAGGTTTTAGATTAGTTAAAACTGAATGCCCTATAAAGTGAACAATTACAGTTATTTCCGCTAATGACTCAATTTCAAGGATTTTCTAGTACGTCTCCAATGTCACACAGAAAAGAACGAGTTGGCCTAGACATGCAAACACAGCAGACATATCAAAGTATACCATGATGCCCAGTCAGTGATTTTCTTTCATAAGTCTCCCTTATTTCATCAGGTACTACTTTAGAAAAACTGGTCTTTACAACACCATGACTGCAGAACCCATTCCAGACTAAAGATTCTACCAGTGGCATTTTTCATCTCGTATTTCCTCAAGCAAAATGTTTTTACAAATTCATTTTTCTGTTCCCATGAACAACCTAAGTTTTCCCACCTTGAAACTAATTATTACCCTCTCATGTATTTTTAGCATTTATATTCAACTATTAGGAGACAAATACTGTTTAAAAGTAAAGATTTTAAAGTTTTAATGAAAGGATTATGTTAGATAGTAGAAGTACTGTCCTCAAACATTTTGCTGAAGAAAAAAACTCTTTGGAATATATATTTTAAAGTAATAACAAAGGCCAACGTAAAGGGCAGTAGCCATTTTTTCCCGTTATCTGTAATGATTCAATAAGTTAAATGTGCATGTGTTCTCTAGCTGAACTTCAGCAAGAAGTCAAATTGTTCTTATGAAGGTTCTAAAACAAGCATTTAAAAACAGTACTGAAAATTCAGGTGGAACTACTAACAGGTGTTCTCACCTGTAAGAGAGGACCTATGTGTCAGTGCATTTGCCAAGCTTTTAAAATAGCTTCTGCCCGATAAATAATGGTAAAAGGCTACATTTTATCTACTAGAAATGCTGACATAAGATTCTGTAGTTCAAGACATGCTTGTGGGGAAGTTGTGTTGATCAAGGTAAACTCCCAACTTAAGGAAACTTACAGGTTAGTGAATCTCATGTATTCACTTGTCTCTTACAAAGAAGATCAGAATGCTTAATAATCCTATTAAGTCAAACACCTCAAAATACTAATGAATCATTCATTGTCCAATAAATACAAATTATGTATAAGAGAATGCAACAAGTTATTTGAACCTGAATGCAGAGAATAAATACTTTATTAACTGATTACAATTGAATGTCACAAACAAAAAAGGGGTATATTAAGGCAGAGCCATATATATATCTATATCTATATATTGATACAGATATAGATAGACAAATCCAAAGACTGTTACCTCTTTACGTTTTAATAACCTCTGCATTTTTCTTTTATGCATCTAGGCAGTGTGCTTTTCTTTTCTTCTCAGTTAAAGAAATGAATCTTGGCCAATATTTCAAAATCATATTTTGATGAGAGCTTACAGATCGTGGGTTGACACAATGACTAGTGTATAAAATGCTATCTGATAGTTTTCTCAGTATATTCCATGTGTGGTGTTATATTTACGTTGGTGTGGAAAATCTGACAATTGACCATTTTCTCTTTTCCAGCAAAACTAACACATAATTTTTCAAATGATTTTAATAGTCTTAACTAAAATAAGCTTGGACTTCCAAGTCAGTCAAATGCCCAAAGCATATTATTTTCTGCCCTTTCCTAAACCCTCTTATGTTTTAAAGAGCCTTTAGAGTATGATCACATGGCTGTATTTCAGATCTATAAATTTTGAGTTTTTCAAAATCCAAAATTATTTCCTTATGCAAAGTGGCAATGCAAAGAGCAATCCTACATAGTGTAGAATAGTTTTTCTTCTGTATAGCTTCCTTTTATAAAAATGGGCAACCACAAAAAAAAAAAAAAGAAAGAAATTTAGTCCATCTGAAAAAGCACTCCAGTTCCCTAATTCCACTTTTCAAGGAGAAGGCAGAGACCAGTTTACATAATCCCAAAAAACTGAATAAATGGCTTTATTTGGTATCTTCAAGAAGCTTCTCCTTCCGTAGGAGATGTAGGTGTTGTAGGAGAAACTGTAACTGGTTTGCGTGCAATTCTGTCTAGTTCTGCATGAACATCTGATAGGACAGGCTTCTGGCCTACATTGAAGGAAAAGAAACAAGATTTAGATAGAAGTCAAAGTATCTTTTACACCAATGTCTCTTCATTTAAAAGCTGCCAACAGTTTCATTAACTTTATCTAGCATACTAAGTTATATAAACATCCTTAATTTAAAAATAAATCCCCTAAAAAAAAATAAATCCCCTCATTTTACATTATGGGGTCTGTTACCAAATGGAAGTAAAACTAGCACCTATCACTTAATCTCATAAAGATATTTTTTAAAAAGGTGTAGGACAGTAAGAACAGTGAAACAAAATAGCAACAAAATTTTGGAATGTATAAAGAATATGAATGGGTAGTAACTATATTAGCAGTCTCGGGAAAGCTTAATCTACACTGGCAGTGGGAAAAGCCAAGAAGTAATTCAGTTTATACCCAGAAACCTGTAAAAGGTTACAAAAATGGTAGCTGCACAATGATTTTTGTGAAAAGGGTGGCAAAAAGATGGGATTAAAAAGGAAAATGGGTTAAAAAGTCTGTTTAAAGGGCAGTTACAACACAAGCAACAAAAGAAAAATAGACTGGACTTCATAAAAATTAAATACTTTTGTGCTTCAGAGGACACCATCAAGAAGTGAAAGGACAACCAACACAAGGGGAGAAAACATCTGCAAATCCTAAATCTGACAAGGGTCTAGGACACAGAATATATAAAGAACACTTAAAATTCAACAACAAAAAGACACCCCAACTTAAAAACGGGCAAAGGACTTGAATAGACATTTCCCAAAGATCTACAAATGGTCAATAAACAGATGAAAAGATTCTCAACATCATTAGCCATCAAGGATATGCAAATCAAAACCACAATGAGATATGACTTCACAGTCATTAGGATGGCTCTAATCAAAAAGATGGACAAAAACAAATGTTGGAGAGGATGTGGAGAAATTGGGACCCTCATTCCCTGCTGCTGGAAATATAAAATGGTGCAGTGTTTTGCAAAACAGTTTGCCAGTTCTTCAAAAACTTTAAACACAGAGTTACCACATGACCCAACAATTCCACTCCTGGGTATATACCCAAGAGAAATGAAAACACAAGTCATTTGTCAAACATCTGTCAAAAACACATGTTCACAGTGGATCTATTGATAATGGCCAAAAAGGGAAACAATCTAAATGTCCATCAACTGATGAGTAGACAAAATGTGGCATATGTACAATGGAATTTTATTCAGTAATAATAATGATACATGCTATAATGTGGATGGACCTTGAAAACATTATTGATTAAAATGTTTCAAAATTAGATTATGATGGTTGTGTAACTCTGTAAAAATACTATAATACTGAATTTATACTTTATTTTTATTCTTTTTAAAGATTTTATTTATTTATTTGAGAGAGAGAGAATGAGAGACAGAGAGCACGAGAGGGAAGAGGGCAGAGGGAGAAGCAGACCCCCTGCTGAGCAGGGGGCCCGATGTGGGACTCGATCCCGGGACTCCAGGATCATGACCTGAGCCAAAGGCAGTCGCTTAACCAACTGAGCCACCCAGGCACCCTGAATTTATACTTTAAATGAGTGAACTTCATGGTATGTAAATTTTATCTCAATAAAGCTATTAAAAAAAAAAGCTCTACGAACATTACCTGATTTCTTGGCGGATGGCGGTAAACCACTGCTTCCAGCTCCAGTCCCACCTCCAGGGCTACCACTGCCAACACCAGGGCCTCCTGGAGAGCCAGTCTTTTTACTTAGCAAACTATTGAAGAAATTTGCCAGGACACCTTCACTTGTAGCTCCCGCTATTAAAAAAACAAAAACCAAAAAATTTCACTCAAAACATTAGATTCTTCTATACATTATTATTACAGTAATCACAGAGAGCAATTAATATTTAAAATTTAAGAGCTGTGTATTCCAAATTCAAGTCTAGTTTGATCTTTTGAGCCTGGGTAACTTATCTCTAATCTATTCATGTGTAAAACAAAATATGAGTAAACTTTAAGAGTGTAAGATAATTATTAAAAAATTAGAATGTTATTTTTAAAAAAACCAAAAGCATTTAAAACAGGGATTAGATGCTACTATACCTCCCTTCTGAAAAAGTTTCTTCAAAAATGAACTGTTGAGAAATGTTTGCCTCAAGTATTACAAAAAGCTACCTATTCCTGTGTGAAAACCAGATCCAAGAGATAAATGCGTAAAGGATAACAAGAAACAATTCACAGAAGAGAAGCAAATAGGAAATACCAGGGACAAAGCTCTTACTAGTATTTAAAGAATGCTGATTAGGTTGTGGCAAAATTGCAACACTCTGTTGATGACTTGTAAATTGAATAAGCCATTTGAAACATATTATCAAAAGCCATAAAAATGTACAAACTCTCACCTACTAATCCCATTTATGGCAATTATTCCTACTGAAATAGCTATTACGCATATAGCTTTTCTCTTTATGTTAACTGCAGATAGCCTATTAACATATGAATTTCTTCAATGACCTACCTTAGGAGAAGTTTAAATATAACACAAAACTTTCATAAAGCTCACACCATAGATATCATATACTAAGGCTATACTATAAAACGGTGTGAAGTCTGATTAACTATGAGATTATAGGTTAGAGACAGAGACAAAGGTTAGAAGCTATTGCACAAAAATGTAAACAGCTATGGAAAAAAGGCGGGAAGCTAGGTAGATTTCTTTTTAGTGTGAAATGTATTGTGTTGTTTTCTCTAGGAAAAGAGAGAAATGTACCTTTCATGTTTGGATCAATTTTTTTTGACCCTGCAGGAATGGGTGACACGCTGGCAACATTGGATGACACAGATCGGTTTGGTGTTCGAGGGGAGCCTCCTGGGACTCTTGGTGAGGCATCCTATGTAAAAATAGGAAAGCCATAACTATCAAAACAGGAAATTTCCAACTTCACCAAAGTTATTATAAAAAGAAATTACTTTTTAACTGTTCCATCTGTTCTACTGGTACATTTACACTGCAAGCCATTGCATGTTTAACAATTGTGTCCTCATTATCAGAAAATACCACGAGACCCATCACATTTTAGAATACAAATTCCCCTTCAATGGGAAAAGAACATATTGAATAATGGGGTGTGATTACGAGTATAAGCATGGGAGTCAGATCTGAGTTCCAAGTAGGACTTGCATCCTATTATCTATAAAATCTCAGGCAAACTATAAGGTCCTCCAAAGCCTCCGTTTCCCCACCTGCAGAATGGGGCTGGTAGTACCTGCCTCCCCACAGGGCTGTTGTTTAAGGTTTATATAAATGGTAAGAAACCATATAAAAATGGTTCCACACAGTAACTCATGCATGACAAACAAGGCAAAATGGATCTTTAGGATTTAAATATTCTAAAAAGGAGTGAAGTTTAAAATGTCACAAATTCCAGAAGAATTTTTAATTCAAGTTTATATCAAAACACACCCACAGGAGACATGTATACGATTAAGAAAAAAGGGAACTAAACCAATAATGTATGGCACTTTAATAATTTTGTCAAAATCTGCAATACTGACCACAGGCCTTCCAGCTGCAGTTGGTGGTTGCTTTGCTAAAAGGGACTGAAAAACACAAAAGAGTTCTAGGTCAGACACTCATAGCATGTACTGCTGTATTTTAAAAAATATGTAAGAACAGTTTACCCATTAACCATACCAAATCTGCTTCTGATATAATTTCATACCTGTAGCTTCATAAGAAACACTTGGTCATCTTCTGCCACAATTTCCTTCTCATGTACAAACTGAAATGAGCAATGCATAAATGAGCAAGTCTAATATATTACGCTAAAAAGCCATTAATAACATACTCTCTAGATTAGACTAATTAAAAAAAATTCAATACAAACATTACCTATACTTACACAAGTGAACTGCCCGACCCAAGCCCCTACAGCAGAGCTGTCCAATAACCATCTGCAATAGTATGAATCTTTGATAGCTGTCCTGTCCAATACTGTAGCCACCAGCCACCTGTAGCTATTGAGCATCTGAAATGTGGCTACTATGGTGCGCCTGGGTAACTCAGTCGTTTAAGCATCTGAGTCCTGACTTCCGCTCAGGTTGTGATCGTGGGGTTGGGAGACTGAGCCCTGCATCCAGCTCTGCACTGAGCATGGAGCCTGCCTGAGATTCTCTCTCTCCCTTTCTCTCTGCCCTCCGCCTCGCACCCTCTCTCTCAAAACAAGAAAAAGAAATGTGGCTACTGTGACTCAGGTGCTGAAAATTTAATTTTATTTAGTTTTACTTAATATGTTTAAAAGCCATATGTGACTAGTAGCCATGATATTGGACAGCACAATCTTAGAGTCAATAGGTATATTAATCATGCTTCTGTTACCCAACAGTTAGGTGTTTTAAAAGGGCCAATAATACCCCAGGTGAGAGAAAAGCAACTTGCCCCTGGTTTCTCTGAAATAAAAATATAATGGCTCTTCTACCTGCTGAGTAATTAGGCAAAAAGAAGCAGCAACCATCTCCTGCTTCTACTATTTCTGTACAATGCACGCTATGGGACGATTTTCCACCAGCAGCCAGAGTGATCCTTTCAAAAGGTCAAGCAGATTACATCACTCCTCTGCTCAAACTCCCCCTCCAGGCGCTTTCCATTCCACTCAATGAAATTCAAAGTCCTGACTCCAACTGCACGAGAAGGCCCCACAAGATCTTAACTCCGCCTTCCATCTCCTATCAATCTGGCCCTCCTCTTCACTTTTTAGAGGCTCTTTGCCCTCCTTCTACATTCCTGCCTCAGGGCAGGTGCACTTTCTGCTCCCTCAGCATGCAACACTCTCCCTTCTTATCAGAGTCATTCCCTAACCACTCCTAAAACAGTAACCCTCCCCGTGCCCCTGCTCTCCCCCACCCTCCCTCACTGGGCTTTACAGCCACAGCACTTATCAGCACTTGAGCACTGGCATGCGCACCGATTTACGACTGCATCATTGTCCTATTTAGCACCTAGTGCCTAAACAGTGGCCCAGGAGGTATTAGTGGGATGAATAAAAGATAAATTACAGCACAATTTTGTTGGTAAAAGAGAATGGGAAAAACTGTTGCTTTTTTTCCCCCCCTGATGTCTGCACTTCTTTTAATAGACATCCAAACCAAATACCATGCCAACTGATTTTTCATTTGTCATTAACTTTCTTTTTTCTAATTACCCACAAACATAAGACAGATGCTCAATATCAATGTTTGGAATTTTTTTTTGTTTGGATTTTTAAGTAAGAATCTTATTTTATGTTAAATCAAAATTATTTTTCCTAAAGCATGTCCACTTAAAAGTCACTGAGAAGTACTATATGTAAATGCTTTTTATACAACTTTCTAGAAACATCTGTAACATCTAACTATAGAACATGATATATTACTTAACATGAAATCAAAATATGTGAAAGAAGAGTACTTTCTGGAAGCAGATTAAATAGGCATACGAATGCCATATAACAGTTTAAACTGGAAGCTCCTGGATAGCTGTGGGCTAGCATGGGTAACTAGTGACTGTGGAGAAGACTCCAGATCTACCTCAACAGAGAGAAGCTAACACATTTATTCTACCTATATTTTCTTGGCTTTTGGCTGAGTTCTAGGATGGAAAGTTCACAGCTTCAACCTACTCTCTTCAATATCCATACATTCACTCCTACCAATTCATTATTTCCATTAGACTATGGAATCCACACTAATATTTTCTAATATAAATATGCCAAAGGCTAAGTAAGAATTCAGTAACTGAACAGCTGGTTTATATTTTGATAACACAGATTTTTATTTTGAATTGACATTAGCAACACCCAAATTATACTTAGAAAACCCCTTGATAGGAAAGGACCCCCTTACCTTTCTAACTATAATCTTAAAGTTATGGACTCCCCCTCAGTTTAAAAGGCTAAATATTGAGACTATATATACTAAAACTGTTACCTTTCGGACAGGTGGTTTAGTTATAATGTCTTCAAAATTATCTTCTGCTTTTAATGTTTGAAAATTTTCATGTAATATTCCTATTTTCTTATCATTATCCCACCCTGCTGGACTGGAAAGAAATGCATATGATAAATCTCAAGCATTTATACAGTCATTCCTTCATTAAATCCATGATCATATTAAAGGGAACAAATCTGACCAATTATGAACAACTAATAAGCTTTTATTTATTAGATTGGGTGGATCAATCGGTTAAGCATCTGCCTTCGGCAGGTCATGATCATGGGAGTCCTGGGATGGAGCTCCGTCCCAGATCAGCGAGGAGTCTGCCTCTTCTCGCCCTCTGCCCCTCCCCCTGCCCCTCCCCCCATCCTGTTCGTGCTCACTGGCACTATCTCAAATAAATAAAAAAATCTTAAAAAAAAAAAAACAAACCAAAACTAATCAGATTTTTTATTATAATGCTCAAGTTATAGTTTAATAATTACTACTTAAAAAGGTTCTTAATCTTCCTGATTTTAAAAATACACAGTTTGGGGGGTTCTTTCACGGGGGGGGGGGTGTCTGGTTAATTATTATTACCTCTTAGTGTATTCACGTAACTTTTTGAAAGCATGTCTAGATTATATACTGGGTCCTTTATGTATCAAACCCAATCAATAAATGAGTATCAATCAAAAAGTAAGTAAAAAGTAAGTAAATACACTGATATATGCACTCAACGGTTTAGCTATATATAATAGCAAGGCTTTCCAAAAGGGGCTCAGGCCAGCAATAAATCCAACAGGCAAAGATAAATGGATCACAGGTTATAAATAAAACAATCTAGAAGAGATTCTCACCTACTCATCGTGGAAAGGTCTACTGGTCTCACCTCAAAACCAAAAACGAGGATTCACCATCAAATTGCAGCAATAACACACAATAAAATAATACACTGAAGAGGATACTTACATAAATACTGCATCTTTTTCCACAACAACAGCAGGAATCTTATAAGGAAATCCATACAGTTTCTGAACGATATATTTATATACTAAATCTATATTTTTGTTTTCTTTTACTGAAGTGTAAATAAGTGCTGCACCATCTGAATAATACTGTTAAAGAAACTTTTGGACAAATTCCATGAACAGCAGGTACCATAAAATTCTGTGTTCTCAGGTTAACAGTTATATGCACAGCACTTTCAAAAATAATTCCGAAAGGTACATTACAGGGTAGTCAAGAATTTCAAAAGTATAAAATACATATAGGCTAAAATGCAAATAAAACTATCTTTACATTATCAACTTCATTTAGGAGGGCAAAAGTCTCATTAAACCAAGAAAGTAAAGGTAAATTTAATAATACTGATACTGCTACTACCTCTCCATTTAAAGCACAAGAAGAGGTAATTGGCTTTGTTTTTGACCTTCCTAAACTTCACGAAGGAGGGATATTATTTATCAACAACTATTTTGCTTGCGTTTAAAAAAAAAAAATGGTGTATACTAGTATTTCTTGTGGTTTTCACTAGCCCCAGGAATTAGAACTTCAGGAGCAAAGCTCAGGAGACCTACTGAAGAGAAATGAACGAATAGGTATCATCAGGAAACTTTGAGGCATAATTCAAGGCAAAAGTTGATTTCATGACCAAAACTTGAGGTAACACAACCTCACCAGAGGATGTGTTAATTAAGGCAGACCCTACCAAATGATATGGTAGATCCAAAGATCAAGAGAGGCCTGTGGAAAAGGGGCAATGTGACTACTAACAGATGATGTGGTCAGAGTGACTATCAGAAATTCTATGGCCATTGCTAAGGACCACGCTCTAGCACTGCCCACTGTGTCCTGAGATGACAACTTAGACCAAGGGAAAAGGCTGGGAATGGTCAAACTTCTGCTTCTGGATTGGGATACTCATATTTATTAGTGCATGAACTGAAGCTTATGAACCTAAAAGTGGTATTGCTAAATAGGACTTCTCATAAAACTTAACTTGATAGAAACAAACATTATCATTTTAAGTAAAAATTGTGTGAACTTTTCATTAATGAGTGATCTTTTCTCATGAGAACCAACTTATGATATAGCTGAAAAATTTGTATTAAAACTAACATTTAAAAGACTTGGAAGATGATTTTAAGCGGCTGCCTTTGGCTCAGGTCATGATCCCAGGGTCCTGGGATCGAGCCCCGCATCGGGCTCCGTGCTCCGCGCTCCGTGGGAAGCCTGCTTCTCCCTCTGCCTGCTCTGCCTGTCGCTTCCCTGCTTGTGCTCTCTCTCTTTCTCTTTCTGACAAATAAATAAAATCTTAAAATAAATAAATAACACTACATCAAAAACTAATGATGTAATGTATGATTAACATAATAATGATTTTGAACTGTTGCCTTCACACACACACACACACACACACACACGTGTGCCTCACTATCTTGAAGTGACTTCTCAGTTTGTATTCTTTTAAAATCAGTGGGCTCTACTAAAGGTCTGTAATTATTTCAGTGGACAGTCTCCTTGATTACATTTCTGTATGTACATTTTCAAGAACAGTATTAATTAAATGTTTAAAGAGACTGCTTGTTCCCAAATTTGCTATCTTCAAAGATAACAAAAAGTCTATAGACATCTACTTCAATTACTCCCACTTTTTTTTTTTTTTAAAGATTTTTATTTTATTTGACAGAGAGAGACATAGCGAGAGCGGGAACACAAGCAGGGGGAGTGGGAGAGGGAGAAGCAGGCTTCCCGCTGAGCAGGGAGCCCGATGCGGGGTTCGATCCCAGGACCCTGGGACCATGACCTGAGCTGAAGGCAGACACTTGACGCTTAACGACTGAGCCACCCAGGCGCCCCCAATTACTCCCACTTTTTGTCTTCTTTTTAAAGTCTCTTATGTAGACAAATGCCCTTCAATTCAACCAAGTCAACCATTATGTGACAGGAGAAAAGAAAGGGCCACAGAGAGGACAAAGTACTGAGGAGAAAAGGGGAAAGGGAAGCTGCTAGTATCAAGTGCTATTATTCATTATTCATCTAGGCTTCTTGTAAGTGGTCCTTAAATTAAATGTCCATTAATGAAAATGAAAAACTACAGACACTATAAACATGTATGTATTACTTATGATTCCTACCTACTGCTAATGTCATCATTTCTTCACTTTTCAGACACAAAAGCTTTGGTTAGGGAATGTAACCACAGACTCTCTAATCCAAGAGGGGTGGGTGAGAACAGCTCTCCTCAGTGCACTCAAGCTGTGACAAAGTTTTCAATAGCAAATTCTCTTAAAAGCATTCATGTGCAACTCTCATTTTATCCTTCTTTTAGCTCTGAATGTTATTCAGAGGTTCCTCCAATCCTTGCAACCTAGACAAGATTCCTTATAATAGGTTTTCTAACCTTGTGATTATCAAAATCACCCAGAAAGCTTTTTATTTATTTATTTATTTATTTATTTTTAAAGATTTTATTTATTTATTTGAGAGAGAGAGAATGAGATAGAGAGCATGAGAGTGGGGAGGGTCAGAGGGAGAAGCAGACTCCCTGCTGAGCAGGGAGCCCGATGCGGGACTCGATCCCGGGACTCCAGGATCATGACCTGAGCCAAAGGCAGTCGCTTAACCAACTGAGCCACCCAGGCACCCACCCAGAAAGCTTTTTAAAAGTCGAGATTCTTCAGCCTCACCTTGAAATGTTCCAATTCAGCAAGCCTTAGCTGGGCACACCCAGATTTTGAAACCATTGCATTAGACTATATGTAGAGATGGTAACATAGTGAACATGTTAAAAATGGGAATACACAAATCTAAATATTGATCTTGCCCCAACACCACTCCCAATAAATGAATACTGCTTTATAATCAGAATGTTTACAATGTCAACTCATTAGAATTTTCCAAAAAGACTGATACTTGATAAATGATTTTTCTCAGGCATAATCCTTTAAAACACAGCAAATCAAAATTACATATTTCAATACTTGCTTTTATAGCTCAAAATACCCAGATATAAATGATTGGGGAGCTAAAATGAAATTTCTAACCAGAAGCAGGAGGAAAATAGTTTATGGAATTTCTGAAGTCCATCAATTTAATTCCATTAATTAAAAAGAGCAGGGGTGCCAGGGTGGCTCAGTCATTAAGTGTCTGCTTTCGGCTCAGATCATGATCCCGGGGTCCTGGGATCAAGCCCCACATTGGGCTCCTGGCTCAGCGGGAAGCCTGCTTCTGTTCCCTCTCTCTCTGTCAAATAAATAAATAAAAATCTTAAAAAAAAAAAAAATTAAAAAAATAAAAAAGCAAACAAACAGGTAAGGTACATTGCACTGATGAATGCAGGAAAAGGATACACTGTAAACAAAACTTCCGGATATGTGACTGAATAAAATCAAAATGTTCATCTCTGTAGTCATGTTCTTTCTCCAATACACTAATGGCATCACACTGTTGAGTTAAAATAATTAAGAAAAACAATAATATTAACTTTAATCAAAGTTAAATATAATGATTTGAGCAGTTTTGGAATGAAATGGGGGAATTTCACAAACCTACCACTCTGATATGGTGACTGAATATCAGACTCTTAGAGTATCCATTACTCTTACATGTCTAAGTTCTTTTAGTTAGAATCAAGACTAAGGAATAATTTCCTTAAAAAGTATTAACGTCCATGTTCTATTGAATGATGAAAACACCAAAGAGAAAGTTTTGGTACATAAAGGAATGAAGAGTAACAGGACAAGCAGATGGTTGCTCATACTTGCTGACTCAACAACTCCTTTTGACTTAAACGAAGTTTTTAAGTTCTAAACTCTATTCTAGTTCTATAAAACACTGTATATCTGGGAGTCTGCACCCTTCCCTATTTCCTCTTTGCTCCTCTGTTTATCTGATAACTCTTAAATGACCTTCATTTCTTTTCTGGTTCTTCTGTTGACTCTTACTACAATCTTACCAACAGCAAAAAAAAAAAAAGGCGAATTACAGGCTATTTTTGAAGTGTCACCTGTATGGTCACTGAGACGATTCTGAATTCTGCTTGCTACAGAAAAATGTTACAAAAAATAAACATGATATCCAAATTACTTCACCAAAACCTCCTGAAACTGAAGGTATGAAATCTAAAAATAACCCTGTAATAATAATGTTCATTATACCTAATATTAGTTTGAGGTCAAATCTGACATGCAATTTTTTGTTATGCATATATACATCATACAACATAGTCTCTGTATAATCATGATACAGCATGTTTGTCCATTTTATAGAACACAGAGTAATTACTTCAAATTACTAAAGATATTTATAATTATTGTATTGTTGACTTACAATACTTTTGGTGGAACATATTTAAATGCAATAAGAGGATCTGGACCTAAGGCAAGACACTTAAGTCTCTCTGAATCTCATTTTCCAGAGTCTTTAAGAAGAGTTAAACCGCCATTATTTCTCTGTCCTGAGACACCTCTCCCACCCCCCCTACACATTTTAAAAGCTCCTAAGCTAATACAAAACTGAAGATTGTCTTAGAGTCTGTGAAATACAGTAGATAATCTCTTTTGGCTTAAAAATCTTATGACTCTGACTCATTTGATACTAATTCAGGTCCCTTTAAGCTTAACAGTTTTCCTTTGAAAATAAGAGGTTTTTATAAGAGGCAAGTTGTGCTATAAAACAGGGAAGTATCTGCCAACAAACAGCTCTCTGTCAAACAAAATAAAGCAAAAACAAACCACACAGAGAAGGATTCTAGTGTGAGAGTTTAAAAACAGTTTTAGAGAAAAGGTGTAAGTAACAACTACACAACAATCACTACTTGAAAAGCAGATACCAGATTTTGATTTAATTATTTTAAATGCTACCCCCACCCTTTGTTACTGATAATTTTTGTAGAGTTTAAAATAAAACTTAAAAATATTTTTTATCATTTTTATTCCACAGATGAGTAAGTGCCATACCTCCCTTCAATTACATGTGCAAGTTTTTACATGTTATGGAAAACATTAATAATTTTAGATCTCAAAAAGGTTTGTATGTTCTGTCATTTCCTTAATATTCCATGATCTATAAACAATAAAGACATACTACTCAAGACCAAATGGGAAGAAGATGAACTTGAACTAGAAATTATTTTTAAGGGGAATTTGATTTTATTATAAAGTGTGCACAGTGATGGAACTAAATTAACAGAATTTGGTAATAGCAATCCTATCAGAACCTCTTTAGTAAATAAATAAAAAGCCCTTAATAACTGCGTATCAACTTTACATAATGAGTGTTGGTAGGTGTTTAAGTCTATTTTAAGGGCATAATCTTCTGATATTAGGATATTAGTGTATCACAATTTATTGTGGAAAGTATTTTATAAAAATTAATACCAAAGTTACCATCTTACCTGTAGTATTTCTAGTCAACTGACTGGACAATGAAGTCTAATTGAAATTAGGAATATGAATTCAATCAAGAACAGAATATTTGAAGTAACGTTTTCTTTCAAAGAAACTAGGACTAAGATCACAAAACCAACATGTGATTATCATTCAGTATTTTAAACTATTATTTCTATTTGTTAAGAAAAAATATCTAGGAAAGCTAGGAAATCTCCTCCAAAAGGAGGCTGGAAAACAAAACAACTGTTTATCCTTGGTTAATAGCAGCAGTAGAATCTCTAGGAAGGAAGCTAACCTTTGTGCAAACTACTAGTACTGGGATGCCCAAGTTATGTGTAAGTGTGTCCGCACCCAGAGGTAAAACCACACTGTCGTCTTTGTCTTCCTGTGACCCAGTATTTCTTCTCTGAGGAGAGGCTGGGAAATCTTCTCCCGGCTCTACATATTCTTGGAAGTCTCTAATCACTGAAAATCAAAGTAAATAATTTAATACATAGTTTAGAAATTGCTTTATTTCAGCAGGTAGCTTTTTCTGCCATAATCTAAATATGTATTTTATGAGACTTTATACTTAGTCTTGCACAAGAGAAGAAACAAAAAGTTTGAGAAATCTGTTTCAAAGACAGGACAGAAACACTAGACCCACATTAATTATGAGGAGGCAGAATACAACACTGAGTGGCTTCCAAGAGTAGGGTTCAATGTAAGCCCAGTTCTGTCTGTGCAAATTACTTCGGGTAAGTCACAATCTAGCTTTGCTTCGCGACATTCTCTAATTCACAAAGGGCACTGAGAGGATAAAAAATAGGTGTGTGTGTGGGTGGAGGGGAGGGGAGGGGAGGGGAATGTTCCACAATTTAAAAGTCAGACCTACGGGTGCCTGGGTGGCTCAGTCCGTTAAGCATCTGCCTTCGGCTCAGGTCATGATCCCAGGGTCCTGGGATCAAGCTCCACATCGGGCTCCCTGCTCGGGGGAGCCTGCTTCTCCCTCTCCCTCTGCCCCTCCCTCTGCTTGTGCTCTCTCACACTCTCTCTCTCAAATAAATAAATAAAATCATAAATGAGTGAATGAATGAATGAACGTCGACCTAGATGACTTTCTAACATTACTTTCCTTTCTCTAAACCCTTTACTCAGGTCTTTTCCTTTTTACCTAGGTGCAATCTAGGTGCAATTCACTCTGTAATTCTGGTAAGAATTAATGAGATATTACCAATGCTGATAAATTTTTAGAACTCATTTGCAAGTCTGTCAAAATCTCCATTTAACAAAAAGTTAATGTGAATGTATTAAGAGCCTTAACAATGTATACTTTGACTCCATGATTACTCTTTGAGTAATTCTCAAGGAAATAATCAGTGATGCAGGATGTCTACATAAGGCTGCTTTCCATGTTTAAAAGCAAAATAACACATCTGGAAACAAATCCACAGCATAGGATTAAAACAGTATATGAGGGAATTCTATATAAAGCCATAAAGGAGGAAAACTGTCTTAAACTTAGATGGGGTCAAGGAAGAGGGAACCTTGAATAGTTGAGTGCAGTTCCTCTAGGAACATAGGGGAATGCATACAACCCTAGCAGATCTGGTAGCTATTACCCTTCAAATCAGAAGCTGAAATCTAACAGTGGTTCTCAAGTTTTAGCATGCACCAGAGTAACTGATTGAGTTTGGGGGAGAGCCTAAGAATGTGTATTTCTGACAAGTTCTCAGCTTGTATTTCTGACAAGTTCCCAGCTGTACTGATACAGTACAGGGTCCTAGGACCCACAAATTGAGAACCAGTGCTACAGTATAAACTTCTGGGGAAAAAAAGACCCACAGACAATGGCCAAGAGGGAAACACAGGTATAGACTAAAAGCAGTTACACATTTTTTTCAGTGATTTAGGACATACATTCTCCTAAATCTCTACTATTTCCTAGCATATAAATTCCAGTAAGCTGTCAATTTTCTCCTAGAAGTTATAATCAGCTAACAATAACAAAGAAAAGCAGCATTCATCTGTATATTTTCTTAAGCAAAGTACAACATTGGCAAATGAAGAGCTCTCAGTGAAATTAAGAACTGTGACAACTGGCTTACAATTTGTAAAAAATGACCTGTATCGTTTTCACAATTTACTTAAAAATTTCCAATTTACATGGGTATATACAAAATACATACTTTGTTAATCATAAAACCAGCTTACCATCTTTATGTTGTTAACGTTTTTGCGGCACATTTCATTTTGACAAGGTTGATAAGATTGCTCTACTTATTAAGAAATGAAAGTGCTGAAAATGAACAGCTGAAGAAAGATTCAATTTTTTTTTTTTTAATCCTGAAACCTACTTCTCAAAATGAACATTTATGGCCTTTCAGCAAAGGAGAAAAGACACCTCTATTAAAGAGTCTGCCATTATGTATAGGTTTCCAATTTAAAACTACATTAAAACCTAGCACATCAAATTGAATTTCAAAAGCAGTAGTCACATTATGTATCCTTCATTAAACCTTATTAAAAGTAAAAAATTCCTACAATTACAATAGCTAGGACATAGGTGTTTGAAATCTATATTAGTATTTCTAGACTACTCACGCTTTTGTTCCATTTCTTTCATTTCTTCAGGAGGAATTTTCAATTTGTCAATATGTTCTCTAACAACACTTGCCCATTTCTGTAGAGAATCCAAAGCAGTCCAAGGCTTTGACATATCCACAACCAGCATAACTAGAGTGTCCTTCAGAGAAATGGCATCCAGTGAAAATTTAAGGAGGCCCTTGTGATACAGGTCTCCATCTAAGATCCATACATTACATCTTGTTTGATCTATAATAGACAAAAGAAAGTTACCAAAGCAATAGGATTAAGTTATTTCATTATCCAACTAACAACACTACTTGGTATCTTAGGGCACCTCCACAGGAGAGGTCTCCTTTGACAAGGGTCAACTATTTAGGTAGGCCACATCTATCAATTTAGTAAAGGCCTAACAAACATTCAGGAAAATGATTTAACTGCCAACACAGAACACCAGCAGCCTCTATTTTCTTTTTCTAAATCCCAAATCACCAACATGAATTACATGTTTCTATTCTTACCATCAGGATCTCTCTCTCTCTTCTTATCAGCAGAGATAGCCATGCATATTCAAGATATTATACACAAAAATGAGAAGACAAGTGATGTATACAAGAAAAAAATGGCTGATCATATTGAAAAAAGCAGGGGAGTAGATGACATTTTTGTGTCAAAAATGAGAAGGTGAAAAGGGAGTCAACAAAAGAAGCCTAGGATACTATTATTCCACTCTCTGAGGGAGAAGTGAACTGAAGCACTGAGATTCTTCAAGGCCAGCAAGAAACCTAGTCTGCACACCAGAATACCTTAAGATGTTAAAAAATATCACTCTATGAATCCCAATCCCAAACCAATAAAAGTATGCCCACACAGAACTACTCACTGACTAGCGTGACAGACTAGGACTCCTAGTGAAAAATGACACACTAAGAAAAGTCAAAGACTAATATGAGCAGCAGTGCAACTCGGAAAGGCCTCAGGAAACTTGTTTTACATATAAATGACACTCACCTTCCCTGTCTTCATCATGAACATTTAAGTACAAATATTCCAACCCTCTTCCTTTCTTGTACTCTTCTATTCCCTGAATTTTTCTTATTAAGCTTGTTTTTCCAGCTCCATCTTCACCTGTAAAAGAGGACAACTCTTTTTAATTATAATATAGATTATTTAAGGATGCTTTCTAGTGTCAACTGAAAAACCCAACTGGAACTAACTGCAACCAAAAGGGTAATTTGATGGAAGAGATCTAGGTAATTATACAGCTAAAGATGCAGACTTCACCTCCAAGATTCTTTGTCCTGGTGTCTCAGCCCTTCCTGTTAAGTCTGGTTCTACCCTATTACAAATGGCTTCGTCTTTGGGTACTTTTCAGGAAGTTCAACTCTTATGTCATCCCAGTTTAATATACAAGGAACAAAAGACTCTCCCTACTGGCTTTCAGTCTGAAGCACCTCAGTTGTAAAGACTCTTAACTGGCCCAGTTTGGGTCATGTACCCACCCACGGGCCACACTCATGGAGGATGGATGGTACATCAAAACTGACCAGGGCAGGGAATTCTGGCTGTAGCCTCACCAAAACCATGAAGTCATAAGAAATAATAGTAACGGAGAGAGGTGGGGGTAATATATTGAACAAGAGTAGAAAGAATGTAGAACAAACAAAAATAAAATGTAGACTTAAAAAATATTAATAGCAAAAACACAAAAATCAAGTGTTAGCAAGGATGTGGAGAAAAAGGAGCCCTCCGGCACTGCTGGTGGGAATGCAAACTGGTGCAGTCACTGTGGAAAACAGTATGGAGGTTCCTCACAAAGTTAAAAATGGAACTATCTTACCGTCCAGTAATCACACTACTGGGTATTTACCCAAAAATACAAAAGCACTCATTCAAAGGAATACAGACATCCCTGTGTTTATCGCAGCATTATTTATAATAGCCAAACTATGGAAGCAGCCCAAGTGCCCAACGATAGATGAATGGAGAAAGAAGATGTGGTATATATATACAATGGAATATTATTCAGCCATAAAAGAATGAAATCTTGCCATTTGCAACAACATGGATGGAGCTAGAGAGTATAATGCTAAGCAAAGTAAGTCAGACAGAGAAAGACAAATACCATACGATTTCATTCCTATGTGGAATTTAAGAAACTAAACAAGCAAAGGGAAAAAACGAGAGAGACAAACCAAGAAACAAATTCTTAACTATAGAGAACAAACAGGTGATTACCAGAGGGGAAAGTGGGGCAGATGAGTGAAATAGATGAAGGGGATTAAGCGTACACATTTATCATGATGAGCACTGAATAATGTGTAGAATTGTTGAGTCACTCCATTGTACATCTGAAACTAATATAACACTGTATGTTGACTATACTGGAATTAAAATAAAAAACTTGGGGCTCCTGGGTGGTTCAGTTGGTTAAGCATCTGACTCTTGATCTCGGCTCAGGTCTTGATCTCAGGGTCATGAGTTCAAGCCAGGAGTTGGGCTCCACGCCCAGTGTGGAGCCTACTTAAAAAATTTTTTTAATTAAATTAAATAAAAAACTTAAAAGAAAAAAATGGGGAGCTGGGTGTGGGGATGAGCTAAATAGGTGATGGATATGAAGGAGGGCATGTGTTGTGATAAGCACTGGGTGTTATATGTACATGAGGAATCGCTAAATTCTACTCCTGAAATGGAACTACAGTATATGTTAACTAAACTGAATTTGAATAAAATCCTGGAAAAAGAAAAGAAAAAGAAAAAGAAAAAAAACCTGCATCTTTATAAATACCTCAGATAGAAATGGTAGGTAACACATGAGAGTTTGTCTGCAGAATATGTCTTCATTGGCCTTCTCAGATGTTTTATGAAACAGGTTTATTTTCAGATGTCTGCATTTGCCATCAAGACAAATCACGTCAGAGTTCATTTAGATGTAGAAAAAGTGACAGCTGCAGAAATTGGTCATTTTAATGGAGGCTTAAGACTTATGAAAAGAAGAAATGGGCTTAAAATGTGTGTAAAATATGAATGTTCAATTTTCAACCAACTGTAGCTTCCAAATATTGTTAAAGCTGAAGGAGAGAGGAGTAGTGGATAGAAGTTTTGCTCCCAGAAAAATTCTGTTTCAGTTAGCAAAGTGCTTCTTCAGACATCGTGAGAATCTTCTCTGTGCCAAGCACTATGTTAGAATATTCTTGGGAATAGATATTCTGTTTTTGCCTTCATTCCATTTTCTCCTGAGAGTAAACAAGAGTCACACTCTTGAGAAGGCTGACTTGGATTCTCTTGCAAGGCTTGAATTATTACCATGCTCCCACAATCTTTGTGACTAGCCTGGTCCCAATTTTCTCATCTCTAAGTAGAGAGGAGTTCATTAGATATCCTTACAGCCTGCATGTGTCTATGAACTGTTCTGTATTCTCAATGTGAACACTTCCAATTTGTTACCAGAAGTGAGAAATTCTGAAATTGCAGGGTAGGGAAAAAAAATCTCAAACTACCGTATTTACCATATTACATTTATTTGATAGTATACTCTTTTTCAAAATTAATGTTGTAAGGTTTATCTTAAAATGGATCTCCAAGGTGCTGAATATTAAGAGGCACAACTATCATCGTTTAAAATTTCAGGAGCGAAGAAGTTACTAGTATAATAAAACAAACTTTATTCCCAGTCCTTAGAGGTAGAATCAAGAGGAGAGGAATATATCCACCTGTCACTCAGAGGCAGCCCACAAAGAATGTATTAAATCATTTTCTTCTTCTTCTGAAAATAGAAATGACCCCTGGGAGCAGAAATATCTTTTTCTCTTATGAGTCATAACGTAAAAATAATAAACAGTATTATTTTAATGGCCTCTAAAATAGCAGCACTGTTGCATATTGGAAAGAGTGTGCTTCGAACTTAAATTTATATGAATTTAGATCTTGCTCCTGTCATTTCCCATGAAACTTTGAATAAGATACTTATCTTTGGCAGTTCTGAGCTCCAGTACTGTCATCTGCCAAATGGGAGATAATCACCATTCCCCATTCAGGGTTATGTTAGAATTACTATTGCTTAAATGAATGTAGAGGGCACTCTGGAAAGGATTGCAGCTCCTGCTATGGAGCTAGAAACAGAAGCCACTGATGGCTCCATCTGACTAGGATATGGACAAAGGGAGCAGTTAACAATCCTTTGTTTTTTGTTATATAGAAACACATTGACAGACTTGAAATTTTATCCTTTTTCTGTCCTAACTTCTTAGGCTTTTGTATTTCAAACTCATTAATACACAATAAAGTTTTAAAATAATCCCGAAGTAGATTAAGGGAACAAAATTTATACCTTCATTCAGGGATTTGTGAAATTCATTAATATTTTGGGGCAATTTTTGTTGTCTGACACCAGATGTATCAGTGGCTGCCCTGTAAGAGGCTTAGGAATGTACATTTCACTATGGAAAGTGCAGAGTTAACAGGCACTGTAGTCACAGGTACTTTCTGGGTACTGGGGATACAGCAGTAAACAAAAAACAAAAATGCCTGTTCCGCTGGACCTTTTGAGGGTAGGGGGTGACTAAGTAAAATCCATACCATGTTAGTTAAGTTCAGTGGAGAAAAATAAGATGAAAAGGAATAGGAATGTAAGGGAGGTTAAGATTTTAAATGAGGTGGTTAGGAACGGCCTACCCAAGGAAGTGATATTTGAGAGAAGGCAGAAGTTTAGGCAACATAGAGGTTTCTAGAGAGAATATGTTCTAGGTAGAGGGAACAAGCATTTAGAAAGTCTTTGAAGTTGGAATTTTACATTAATAATTATATAAGCGAGTGTTTGCGGGTAAGGTAGCAAGAGAATGATACTGTTTTTGTGCATACTGAAACGTGAGGTATTTATGGGACATCCAAGTAGTGATGACCAGTAAGCAGTTCAGGAGAGGCTGAGGCTGGAAGGAAATCTGTGGGTCACTGGTATAGGTGGTGTTGAAGTTGTGTGTGGAGCTGCTGCCGGAATTACATTCAGAGTGAGAAGAGCAGAAGTCTGAGACAGAAACCCTGGGCAACACAAACGTTGCGTGGGGATGGAAAAGCAGCCTGCAAGGAAGACTAGGGACCAGCCACCTCAGAGGTCAGTGGTACAGTAGGAGAGAGGGATGTTACTGAAGCAATGGCAAGGGAGAGCCTTCTCTGACTTCTGAGTCTTCCTCCTCCTCTCTCTGCCAGCTCCCAACCAAGTCTGCCTTGAGTACAGCTGTCCCCCCTACTAGCTAATACCTTAGTTCAGGCCTACCTCATTTCTTGCTAGGACTCCATTAATATCGAGTTACCTAGTTTTCTTACTCCTAAATTTATCCTTGTCAGTCAGTCTTCCACACTTCTGCCATAGCAGTCTTTCTACAATACCTAAACACTGCCAGTGGCTCCCCATTATCTTCAGGATAAAGTCTGACCTTCTCAGCCTGGCAAAAGATGCCCTTCCTGATCTGGCATGCCGTACTTGTTCTCACTTTCCAACTCCTTTTCTCCCTCACATCCTAAAGCTCATGCATTCAAATTATCTGTCCTTTGTAGAAAGACACTTCTTTGCCTCCAGGCCTCTGTAGATGCTTTCCTTATTGCCTGGAATGACTAACTGTCCATGGCTCATTAAACACCACAAGATTTGGCTAAAGTATTACGTACAGTCTCTACAAAGCCCTTTCTGACTTCCAGGCAAAACCAGAGTATTTCCTTAGGGCTGGCTTCCTGGTTTGTTGCTTATCTCCAGCGTAGTCCTAATGACAGTATCTTGAAATTATCTCCTGTTTGTTTTCCCTCTCCAGTTTATGAGCCTTCTAGAGGACAGTGGCTTTGATATAAGGATCTTTGTATTCCTAGTGCTCAGTGTAGTAAATGTCAAATGCGATGGTTCTCAAAGTGTGGTACCTACACTAGCAGCATCAGCAACACTGGTTACTTGTTAGAGATGCAGACTCTTAGACCCTGCCCCAGAAATCCAGGAGGGAGGCCCAGCAATGTGTTTATTAAGCATCCCCAGGTGAGTGTGGCACATTTGAGAATCATTAGTCCAGTGAAATGAATGATGGACATTTACTCAGAGGAATAAACTCTGGTCTCGTAAGTAGGGGAGAACTCTTCAACTTCAG